ACTATACCTTTAAAATGATGTTCCTTTTTATTTTTAAACTCTTAAATGTTAATATTTCAAATGTTCTGAAAAAAAGAACATAAATGACAGCCACCTAGATCTAACAAATGTAACTAATATTTTACCACATGTGCTGTTAATCTTTCTTTTTATGATAAATGCTTTTTCTTTTTGCAAAATATTTTAACAAATTATAAACATCCTGATATCACACTCACTTCATGGGAATATGCACATCTAAAAAAGTAACGATATTTCCTACTTAGCTATAAACACTTACCACACCTAATGAAATAACAATAACCCCCTAATAAAATTTAATAAACAATTTGTACTCAACCTCTATAGTCCCTAAAATCTCTCTTAGAGATAGTTTGTTCCTTCTAGGATTCAATCAAGGAATTTAGATGCAATGTTTCTAATGCCTTTTCATCTAGGATACTCCCTAATTCCTATTTATCCATGGCACTGACTTAAAAAATAACTTGGAGAAAGTCTCACTTTCTAGATTTCTGATTATTTCCCTTTTCTTATATGCTATCTGTCCTGCCTATTCTATAAACTTCTTTCTTGCTTTAAGAAATAATTTCATTTTCTCCATTAATTAGAAAGCTATACAGTCATTCTTTTACTGTATACCCTAGATATTACATGTATCCTTGACCTGTCAAGTCTAACATTAATGTTTAGCTTTGTTCACCTTCACACATTCACCATTTGTTTCTTTCCTTCCTACATTTATAATTTTCCTTCTGGATAAATTTCTTTCTGCCTACAGAATACCCTTTCAATCTACTTTAACACAGTTATCAGTCTGTCTAAACCATCTTCATTTAGTTCTTATTCTTGAAGGATATTTTCAATGAGTATTCTACTGCTAGCTGTGTTCTTCAGCACTTTTATGATATAGTTCTCTGTTTTCCAATTTCCAGTATTGCTGAAAATCAGCTATCAATTTGTCACCCTTTTGCAGGCACTCTTTTTTCTGACTGCTTTAAAATATTATGTCTTTGGCTTTCAGTTTTGTTATGATGTATCTAGGTCCAAGTTTTCTTTTCAGAGATTCTGCTTGGGTCTTGCTGGGCTTCTTTGATTTGTGGTTTCATAACATTTTTTCAGTTTTGGAAAATTCTCAGCCATTTTCTCTTCAAACATTGCTTCTGCTCCATTATCTTTGTCTTTTCCTATTGTGGAACTCAGGTTATTTTCACTGATGCCTGTTTGCTAACCTTCTTACCCAGGGACGGATTACCCAATAAGCAAGGTACACAGGGGCTTACTTGTGCTTACTTACTAATCTGTAGTATACAACTTCACTTATTTTTTACCACATCTTTGAAACTGTGAAATTTCAAATGTGAAACTGTACACTACAGATTAGTAAGTAAATACAAGTAAGCCCATGCGTACCTTGCTTACGGGTTATCTGATCCTGTTCTTACCCGTATTTTCCATCCTTTTGTCTCTGCTTGCTTCATTCTAGATAATGTCTTCCAAACTACCTTCCAGTTCACTAAGTCTCTCCTCAGCTTTGTTACATCCATTCATGTGATTTTTACTGCTGCATTTTTCAACTATATTTCTTTTTAGTACCTTTTCAAATAGTTGCAATTTAATGTTGGAACTACAGCTCCTTACAGTAAGCTCAACTGCTTTATGGTCTCTGCTGGAGAGTCTCTGGGTCAATTTCTCTCTGTTTTTTCTGCTAATTTTTCTTAATCTCATGTGCCTCTTTCTTCCCCCGTGGACATTTTATTTGAAAAATTACTTGTAGAAACAATTTAAGGCCAGGATGATGTTATCTTCAAGAGAGAATTTTTGCTTTCTTCTGCCAGGCACCAGAGAGCACTAGCAATTCAGGACCAAGGCTTGAGGTTATCTGGTCCACCCAGATTATCAGAAATTTCATAGTCTCTATCTCATTCCCAAGGTACAGTCTTTCAAAGAGTTACAGTCCAGAGCAGGGGTTATTTCACCAGGATTCCTATCCTTGGCAGCACCAATCTCTGACCCTTATTAGTCCAATTCAGAGGTTCACTCTCTCAGCTGCCTCCTCTGGAGTCTGCAAACACCTCTAGAGCAGAAGTGCCTCCAGCTTACCCTTCCGAGTTCTAATCCTTTCCTTGATCTTGCCCAGGTAACTCTTCATTACCATGTTAGCTCTCTGATGCTCTTAAGAAGATGCTTTTTATATTTTGTCCAGCTTTTTAACTTGTTTTCAGTAAGAATGTTAATTCACTTACCTACTCCACTGTTACCAGAAGCATCAACACTGCTTTTTGAGACTCAAAAATGTTGTACAGTTTTGCCACCAAGACTGCTTTTCTCAAGGTCACCAAGAACTTACTGCTAAACTCAGTGATCATTTTTCATCCCTCAAAGTACTTACTCTATATCAGCACCATTTCACACCAATGAGCAGTCAAACACTCTGCTCCCTCAAACACTTTCTTCACTTAGCTTTCATGATACCAAATGACTACTTCTCTGGCTACTGCTTCTTCCAACTCCTCCTCCTCATCTCCCTGAACTCTCAGGTCCCTGATCTTGAACTTCTTCATCTATACTCATTCCTAGATGATCCTGTGGCTTCAAATGCTAATGATGGCTCTCAAACTGTTATCTCCAGCTTGGACCATCTCATGGCTTTCAAGATCTGTATATCTGTCAACTTGACACATCTACTAAATATTTTATAGGCATTTGAAACCTTAACATATCTAGACCAAGCTCCTGAAATCACCTCACCCCATGAACCAGGTCCTCTGATAGTCTTACCCTGTGGTTAATGGCAACTCAATTCTACAGGTAGCATGACTAAAAACCTCCATGTCATCCTTGACTCCTCTCTTTCACACCTGACATTTGGTCAGTTAGCAAATCTTGTCAGTTCTACCTTCAAAATACATCCAGAATTCTACCACTTCTCACCATCCTCACTGCAAATAAATACTCTGGTCCATTCTATCATCACATCTTACCCAATTATTACAATAGATTCCTAGTTGGTTACTCTGCTTCTTGACCCTATGCAGTATTCTCAACACAGCACTAGAGAGATTCTATTAAAACTTAAGTCAGATCATGTCACTTCTTTGCTCAAAAGCCTTCAATGGCCTCCCATCTCCCTAACATTAAAGTCAAAGTCCTTCCCAAGACCTACAAAGCCCTACATGATCTGGCACCCCATTACCTCTCTGAACTTATCCCCTACCTCCCCCCATTCACTCCCTTACTGCCACACTTGCCTCTAATGTTTCGTGAGGTTTTAGTAGTCTAATGCTGCATAAAAAGCACCTCAAAAATATGGCAACTTGAAACAACAATAACCATTTATTATCTTCCATGGCTTCTGTTGATTCAGAATTCAGGAAGGCTCAATGAGTAGTTCTCATTCAGTCTTTTAAGAGGGGCAGTCAGGCTGTCAGCTGGGATTTCATTCATCTGAAGGCTTGACTGAAGCTGGCAGACAGATCCCCTCCTAAAGTGGCTTGCTCACATGACTGGCAAGTGAGTACTAGCTGTAGTACTCTCCACAGATCTGCTGGAGTGTCCTCACAGCACAGCAACTGGCTTTGCCCAGCATGATCTAAGAGACCAAGGCAGAAGGTGTAGCACCTCTTATGAGCAACAGAGGTCACATATTACTTCCACTGTATTCTGACTGGAGTCCCTGGACAGTGCAAAGTGCCCGGGGGTAGTGCAAATGATTAACACATTTGGCTTCTAACCAAAAGGTTGGAGGTTCAAGTCCACCCAGAGGCAACTCGGAAGAAAGGCTTGAAGATCTACTCCTGGAAAATCAGTCATTAAAAACCCTATGGAGCACAGATCTACTCCGATACACACGGGGTTGCCATGAATTGAAATGGATCTAATAGCAACTGGCTATTCTTTGATCATACCAGGCAAACACTGATTCAACATGAGAGGGGATTACGCAAAGGTGTGACTATCAAGAGGCAAGAATCACTGAAGCCATCTTGGAGGCTACCTATCACACTACAGGCCAGGTATGGTCCTACCTCTGGCCTTCACATTTACTGTTTCCTCTTATCTAAAATGTTCTTCCCCCAATATCCAAACGACTAGCTCCCTCACTTCCTTTAGGTCGTTCATTCAAATACTACCTTCTCAGAGACCTTCTATGGTCCCCTATCTAAAATTTTATAGCTATCTGTCCTTCATTTCATATCCCCCTTCCCTACCTACTCCTTCTCCTTAGCATCTATCACTAACACACATACATTTTAACTTATCTTATTTATTGCTTGTCTCCCATTTAGAATGTAAGCTTCACGTTGGTAGGGAGGTAAGGATTTTTCAGTTTTGTTTTTTGTTTTTCCCACTAGTCTCTCTCTAGCACCTAGAACAGTTCCTGGCATATATGAGGTGATCGATAAATATTTGTTGAATGAAAAGTCAAAACTATCAGTCTCTTTATTTCTTTGATTTGCTCTTAAGCTTAGAAAGTTCCTCCGACACCCTAAGTTTCCATATCTATTTTTTAGTTTCACATAGAACATTTACATAATGGTATAATCCTGAATACTTTGAAGATCTCAGGATCATTTCTTCTATGTACCTTTTGAAAGGTAATCATCAAAATAAGCTTTGACAGTCTTATCAAATACATATCCCCTTTTCAGTTTGGAATGAGACCACTGGAGGAGGAGGAACTAAAAACAGGATGTTTTCTAGGATCTTTCATTTTCAAAATTCCCTTCTTAAACTGAGAATTTTAAAAAACACATATGTTTATCAGACACGTTTTAATCAGATTAATTAAAGTAAGTAAGATAAGTTATTAAACTACTAAACAACATTTACAGGCTTAAATCTTATATATTTTGAATTTTGTTCATAAATTTTTAATCAATAATTTTGTTCACAGAATTTGTTCAGTTTTTAAATTTGCAAGTAATGTGAGACTATACTAGTATATGCAAATATTTTAATATACAGCTGTAGTATTTTCTAAAAAGGTTCTCTATACATACTTGATAGCAGTCCAGCCCACCACAACCATTCTTTAAGATATGCATGGCCACCTTGACCTGCGAATGAAGAAATACTTCACTTTTTTGAAAAATTATCACTCATAAATTATTACAACTATCAGTATTGACAGATCTTAAAATCTTATTTGTTGACTGCTTTAAAGGTTTCTGTATGATTTGATAAAGTAATTTCTTAGATATTATTTTTATGGTTATCTTGGGAAAAGGGGACATGAGGATCATAAGAATGTTAACGATGTTTAGGTATGTACTATATTCTTGAGTAAAGGAATTAAATCAACCCTTATGTTCAGTTTTTTTATTTTGTGAACTCAGCTTCAATAAACAAAGTAAAGAAAAAAAACCAGTAAGAAGTAGCTCCAACTTCTAATGAATTAATCTGACACTGAAGTATGGTAAGCCCACTTATGATGTAGTCAGCTTGGATTATATAGTCCTATGCTGATCAGACATAGATTCATCACTGCTCACAGTCTGGGGCTGTCGCCATGATGAACATCCTGCTGTTTCCCTTGGCTTGCCTGTCAACCAAACTAATAAAGTAAGGAAGCCACCGGTAACTGAAGCCATTGTCCAAAAGAAAAAAACAATGTGAATGAATCCTTTGCCAATCATAACCATCATGGGTAACTTAGAATCAAAGATGGGAAACTGGGGGAACAAGCAGTGGATGCCAATACTTTCTCCTCTACCCACTAAATGCCATAAAGGCCACTGATTTAAGATTGCTTAATTAAGTTTACCAATAGAGGTGGCACAGAAAAGAGAGAGAAAGTGATATTTTTACTGCCAAAGCATGTCTTCCCATGAGGTCAGAACCAGATGTAGAAGTGAAGCAGAGGCAGGATGCAGCACAGCCATAATGCAATACTGGGACACTGGAAGCTGTCATGAAGAGCCAGATGGAGGACTGTGCGTGGGGTTCAATCATGTCCAGTCTCCCTAAGGGCCTTGTGACTTTGTCAGCAATTTCTGACAAAACAACCTACAGCACTCAGAGATTCACTCAGCCAGGTACTCTTCAAGCCAGGGAAACCCTCTCTTTCCTTCCTGCCAAGGAAAAATGTCTAAGGTAAAAGTCAGAACTCCTCCTACTGCTATTCAACTATCACAGACAAAAGATCCTAGCTTTCAACAAAATTCTAATTTCTATTAACGAAATCTTGTTTCCTTCTCTGCAGACATATCAAAATTTAAAGAAAAGGCTAGACGCTAATTGGGCATTGGTCCCTGTTCCCACTTGGTAAGAAAAAATGCAACTAACTAAAGGAGCAAGCAGTTAACTTATTTTGACATCTCATTTTTTAATTTCTCTCACTACAAAATTAATTTGACTCGTAAACATTTAGAACTCTTTCATAGTTCAAAGTTTTGAATATACTCACTAGGAATAAAAACGTAGGCTTCTACAAAGAATCCGAGTATATAAGCAAATGTTTATGTCACTTCAGAAGTCAAATAAGGCATAACCTACCTGCTCTCATGGAGCCTTTTCTGGCAAGTCGCAGGAGGCCTTTTTTTTTCAAAATGAAACTCCCTCCAATGAAAATGCTGGAGCTCATAGCCAATCCCAGACCAATATAAAAGTCATATTTTCCACGCCCCTGGCTCATGTCGTTTACTACTTAAGAAGTTCCTGTGAACCACATTGATCACAGAACAAAAACTGATGGATGGTACTGGAGTCTTCAAATCTAAACAATAAAAAATAGAATGAGATTTTTTAATAGAATGATCATGACAGCTCTCATGCAAGCCAAAATTTTACTCCATTTATCTTCTCATAAGGAAGAACATTTTTATTACTACTACTAATAACAGTCAGGATCGACTCAACGGCAACAGGTTATCGGTAATAAATATATTTACTATTTAAATTTAACATCAATCTATTTCTTCCACCAGGGCAAAAGATGGGATTGTGACATAAAACGTTTAGAATGATTTTATGAACCTGGTTTTATACAGAAGAAATTTTTTCCAGTCCTAGATGACAGCTCATAGTAATAAAACTTTTTTGATAATAAAATTCTACAGAATGAAAAATTAGTCATAACAATATATAAAACTAGCTTATAAATACATTTACCAACTTTACAAATGTGTCCTTGAATAATCTATACAGAGAAACTAAAAATCTTCTCACCCTTACATTTTTATTTTCTTCTTAGAATACATGTGAATATGTATTTCAGAGAAGGGGAGCCCTGGTGGTGCAGTAGTTAAGAGCTCAGCTGTTAACCAAAAAGTCAGCAGTTTGAATCCACCAGCCACTCCTTAGAAACCCTATGAGGCAGTTCTACTCTGTCCTATAGAGTTGCTACGAGTCATAATTGACTCGACAGTAACGAGTTTGGTGTTTTGTTGTTTTTAATAGAGAAGACAAATTTCATGTTATTTTGTTAGCACAGGATGACAATTCTAGTAGATAAACATTTCCCAGGGGTGTTGGGTATGGTACTGGTGGACTTTGGAGAACAGGAGGACAATGACACCTAGAGGTCTCAATGAACAAGACTAGAATGAGAGGCTCACAAAAGACTGCAAAATTTTTTCCAAATGGCCAACTTATGAACTCGGCTGAAAAATGAACTAAAGCAAAATGTGGAAAGCAGAGAAAAAATAGTATTTAGCAGCAAGGTTTACGACTGTTTACAACTAACTGCCAGCCCAATCTTCTGGTAAGTCTTAGGATCTTTAATCTCAAAATTTAACTATTTAGTCCAAGGACTAATCTGCAATTCAGCTAGGATTGCTTTGCCCTCTTTAAATAGGTTTTTCCTTTCTTCAGGTTATGAGAACTTGGCCCTTAACTAAGCAATGTAATCTATCCACCTGCCCTCTTTAAATTACCTTATCCATTCACTCAAACAATACTTACTGAACATATGCTATGTATGCTTATGTTCATGCACTGCTTGCCCTCAAGGAGCTTTCGGCCTTCAATGGGGAGATACACAAGAGGCAATCACAAACAAAGCGGTAGTAAGTACTATAACGGTAAACACAGTATCATCACACTGAGTTGACATCATTCCAGACAAAAGAAAAGTGCCAGTGCTTTGATATGCATGTTGCAGCAGGTTATGGTTCCTGTACATTCCCATAAGAACAGCACACTGATTCTGGGCTTGGCTTTGGCCAATGGGAGGCAGGCATTAAGTGACACAGTGCCAGTTTCAAGTCTAGAACTAAAGAGGCCCCCCCCCCCAGTTCTGCTTGCCCCTTTGCATTCTTGACATTACCAGGTGAAGAATATGCCTTCAGCAATTTGAACCCACCACCCTCTCCATGGGAGAAAGATGTGGCAGTCTGCTTCTGTAAAGACTGCAGCCTTGGAAACGCTATGGGGTAGTTCTACTCTGTCCTATAGGGTCACTATGAGTTGAAATCTACTCAATGGCAACAGGTTTGGTGTTTTTGGTTTTAGCCTACTGATTACAGAAGAACAAGATGCCCAGAACAATGTCATCTCAGGTGACCCAAAGACCTGTGAGCAGAATCATAAATGCTTATTGCTATATGCCACTGAGATAGCTAACTTACACACTCGAGCACTATTACTGTATGTAATACAAAATTTTCATCATAATTCTTGAAAAACCAAAAATTGCAAAAAATGGGATCACTATTAAAGGTGGGTGATGGGTACACAGGAGTTCACTGTATTATTCTCTCGACTTTTGTATATGTTTGAACATTTCCATGTTAAAGTTTTTAAAACACATACTGCAGTGCTCAAAACTTGCAAGATGGATGCCAGATGGAAACCACTTGCAAGTCCCAAAAACAAGGTCACCTCACAATCTAGGACAAGATAATAGTGAAACATGGAAAGATACAACTCAAGTCAGAAAGGTGCTCTGTTTTTGTATCAGTCATATACAACTTGGATGAGTTCAACTGTCTATCTGAAACCATTCCAGAACTGATCTGTCTCATAGGGGATTTGAAAAAGTATCCCCAGCTGTCCCAATGCCACTTCCAAGGCAAAATGATGCCATGAGAAAAGTCCTAGGTGGGAAGTTTGGAGACTCAGTCCTTTATGTGCCAAACATTCATTAACTTCAAGCCTCAACTTAACTTTAGCAGGCCTGTGGAATAATTTTCTCGACAGTAGAGCTGCACTGACTGTCGTGATCAGTTTGTATAAAGATGTTAAGTATAAAAGATGTGGGAGGGGGAGGCAGGAGAATTTGGTAACAAGATATTTAAGACTCTCAGGGTCAATCTTAATTTCCAAATTTCTACACCTCACACACTTACACTGTTCACACCACACCTTAAATGACCGACTTATCCTTGTTTATAAGCCAGTCTCCTCACTAGACCATAAGCTCTTGGGCATATGCACACTAGTCATCTTTTTATCCTGTGCACACAGCTGTCTGGCAGTCTCAAAATGTGTCTTAATATATGCTTTCTGGGTGAATACACACAAATGGAATGACATATAATTAACCCTAAAGAACTGTTTTATAGGCTAGAGCACTGTAAAAAGTTATTGAAGTATCCTGGGAAGTGGTAGTACTAGGTACAACTAAAAATGCAAGGATAATGATTATAGGGTCCAGAAAAAATGGGAGTTAAAAATCTAGTTACTAAACATTTGGTATGGATATCCTTCTAGTGAGTAAAGATTACCTCACTTTAATCAAAGTACCCTTATGATCATCCAACATAAAAATCATCACCCTCCTTTTAACAATTATTTTCATGAAGCAATGCTCTTAATTATCATGCAAGCTCTACTGAGGAATTAACAACTGGGCACTTATATTTCTCAAGATATATTTTTTAAAGTTCCATGGTTCATAAATCTTGAAGGTCTGAACAGAACAAATATAGTATGAATTTTCTGGAATCAATAAAACAGAACTTTATTATCTACAAAGATGATACCCAGAAACCAGTCAGATTTATCTACAATTCTAATTCCAGCTTAATGACAGCTTCACAAATCTAAATTCAGACTTTACTTACATGAACCTGACTTTCATATACCAAATGCGTAACTTAAATTTACTAATATTGACTGACACGTTAACTTTCACTAAACACAAGTTACATGTTGTATTGTGGCAAAAAGAATTGTCTAAATTCATGAGGGGGATAAGAATCAGGATTAGCACAAAGCTGGTTCCTGGAGGTCAGACATACTTCAAACTCCTTCACCATTTCTGGCACCAACCATTCCCCCACGGCACTCTATACTTTTCTGCTAAGCTCGGTAATTCATTGCAATAGCCACACAGAACTCACAGACCATACTTACAGTTACATGGTTTATTAGGGAAATAACAGGCTACAACTTGGAATCAGAATCAACTTGGAAATAACAGGAACTTGGGATCAGGATCAGGAAGGACATGGAAAGGTAAGGTCTGGAAGGCGCCCCTAAGGAAGAGAAAACATCCCTCCCTTCTTCAGGACAGGACAGCTCCCAACCAGGACAGCTCTCTCAGCTGTGCTAGCAAGCAGACCCTTCTCTGCCCTGTACCCCCGCATCCCTAAGCTGTGGACACCTCTCTGCCTTCAGCCTCCTGGCCATCAACCTCTCTGCTAGTAACTGGCCCAACTCATGGCCAGTGCAGCAGGCCCACTCAGCTCTCTCAGCTGCTTTCTATTATCACAACTGGCTCTACCACCAGGCCCCTTTCGGGCTCCTCATTGTGTACAGCTCTTTTTAGGACGCTGCCTTCACAGGAACCCCAAGTCCAGACCACTCTGCCCCAGGCTCTTCTTGGTCTTGAGGTACCCTCCTCGCCTCTCCACTCTAAAAAAACCTCTGTGGCATGGCTACTTATATAAGCAAACTCCTTGTCAATTTCAAAGCATGGTCCTCCTATCAGGACCATGAACCAACCAATCCCCTGTGTGGAGCACAAGTCACTTAATCCTATTGGGTGGACTTTCAAGCCACTATTTCAATAGTAAATCAACCAATCCCTTGCAAGACTGTGGCCCAGCCAATCATTCTGGAAGAGTCACAAGCCCATGAGATGTCAATCAACTCAGGCCTTGTACAAAAGTAACATTTCCAGCCAGCAGAAACCCACATCTTCTTTGGGCAAAAGTAACAATGCTCTGGCATAGAAAGCAACCTGGGAAGTCCCTCAAGTAGTTTCTAAACAGAACTTGGGCAAAGGTAACAACTCCTCAGGGATTGGGGGAAAAATCTCCCTGTTTAACTGTTTTTCCAAGGAACCTAGACAAAAGGCCACATAAAGGAATTCATTTCACCACACATATATACAACAAAATTTTATTCATTTTATCCTAAGGTCATTGCCCCTAATTTTACTATTCTTGTATATTAATTTTCTCCACATTTATTTTGAAAAGTTTCACGAAGCTACTTACAATCTTTCTCCTTTCCTTTGTATCTATTTATTATGGGAAATTTCAAACACACAAAAATATATAGGGGACTTTTCTTTTACTGATTTTGATTTTCTAAGGTGCCCAGTTGGATCAATCGTATGTGTATAGCTTTCCAGTGCATATGCAGTCAGGCCACACCTTTCCTATCCACTTCACTTCCCAACACAGAATCTTGGCTCCCATCAGATGGACCTCCCCTCTATTCCCACAACTGATAAAGTATCACTAGCCATACTTAAGGAGTTCCTGGGTGGTGCAAATGGTTAAGCACTGGACTACCAACCAAGAGGTTGGCAGTTCAAACCCACCCAGGGGCACCTCAGAAGTATGGCCTGGCAATCTGATTGTGAAAGGTCACAGCCCTGAAAACCCCATGGAGGAGTTCTACTCTGCACAGGTGGGGTTCACCATGAGTCAGAATCGGCAACTAACAACCACCACCCCCACTTAGAGCCTGCTCTTTGCTCAAACCAGTCACATTTCAAGCTGTATTACAAGTATTTTCTCAACAACTCCAGTCTACAGGTACTTTCTCTCCTATGCGTTTATGTTAAAGTGTAATTCTCAATTTGTTCATGTGTATCCTAAGATAAATTACTGAGTACCAAGCAAAAAGTTTCCACACAAAAGGTACTCATTTAGTTTCTGTTTTGGGTGATGAAAAACTTTTGGAAATGGATAGTGGTGATGTTGCACAACATGGTGAATGAAATTAATGTCACTGATGGTGAACTGTACACTTAAAAATGGTTAAAATGGCAAAACTTTTGTTACATGCATTTTATCACAATAAAATTTAAAAAACAAACAAAATGGGGGAAAAAGGCACTAGCTTCTGGTGGAAATTGCATTTATAAGCCTTTTAAGAATTAAGGTTTTTTTGGTTTTTCATTTTGTTCTGTTTCTTCACTGGTGGAACTATATACCAGCGTGGGGGGGGGGTGGCGGCAAGTAACATAAACTTTGCAAGCCTTTAAATAATAAAGTAGCTTTCAGCCACTAAACTAAATAAATGGGTTATCTCATTTTGACTTACAGTCTAAAACTAGGACATCAGCATGAGTGTCCTGAAAGGAATTCACTGGTTTGTTATTCTCAGATTTGGTAATGTTCTGCTTCCAGAGATATTTTTTACTCTTCAAGGATTAGCCATAAGGCAGGGCCAGGCTTAAAGACAGCTAAACAAGAAATTTGCCAAGTTTCACTTCAACTAGGTTCCCAAATCAGAGATGATGTGCTCCCTAGTAACCTGTCCTTCTTACCTCTTGGAGACACTCAGGTGGAAGGCCCCACCCCAACTGTCATTGTTGTTCTGGGGTGACAATCTGTCCAATAAATGTATACTCAGCACCTATTACGTACCAGGCAATGGAGTTACAAAGATGACTAAAGTGCCCTTCCTTTAAGGATTCAACAGCTGACCAAATTAAAAATTACCGATTTAAATTTTAAATTTAAATAAATTTTACACTTTAAGGACTCTTAGAATTTCCAACTTATTCTTTCTAGATTTTCACAGCTTAGTTTACTAATATTTACAAATACATATAACGTTGACTTATATTAAATGTCAGCAGTCGAGAATGAAATAAATATTTCTCAAAGAAAATAAGATTATTAGATCAATTTACCTACTTCTACAATGTGGAAAACATTTAATTTAAGGAACAAGATAAAACAGACTAGCATTCTAACGTCTGCAAGGGAAGCTTAAGTTAAGATTTGCTTTGTAAAATGACTAAGAGTAGGAAACACAATCATCAAAGTTTGTAAACTTTAAAACTTATACCAACTTAAGTATATATACAGTTTTAACCTTGTCACAGCATTTTTGACATTTCATTTTCACACAGGCGTGAAGAGGTATGTGGTGAGGGTCCCATGATGAGGAAACAAGCACTGCAAAGTTAATTAACTTGTCAGCCAATGGGCAGGTATCAGAACCAGTATGAGAATCCAGGTCTCCTCATTCTCAGCCTTTTGCCCTGCCGACTGGAGTCTTCTCTTATTCCCAGAGGGAGAACACAAGGTAATGGCAGTTCAAGCCAGGCTTTCAGTATAGGTCATCATAGTCTCTGCCCAATCTACTCTCCCACATGTTCTGGCAATGGCTTCACCATCCTCATCATCCAAATTAGATGTGAGGGCCATGAGTGCCAGATGGATTCTACCTCTGAAGTACGGCGTCACACCTGCTCTACTAACTAGACCCTGCATCTCTATGTCTCTCCTGACCTCAGTCACTTAAATACATAATGCTGTCCTGCTGCTCTAATAAACAATGTCAAGGCCATTCTCCTGCTTAAAACTGAGAATGGCTATCTGCTTTTACAGCAAGAAGTCCACACTCTGTAACCCAGTAACTAAGACCCTTTAGTCATTTGTTCCAAATTTACCTTTTAAATCTTATTTCCCAACTCTATTTCACACACCGTGTTACACCTGACGTCAACACACTGCGGCCATTCTAACCTACTCCTACTTTCCCTCCTCCATATCTTTGTTTACACTACCCCTTTTACCTGAAAGTGCCCAGTTCAAAAAGCACCTTCTCAGTGAGCCCTGCTTGAATTCCACAAGCTAAGTAATCACAGTCTTTTTACCGGACACTTATCTTACAGCCTGTACGATGGCTACTTATTACATACATAATTCACAGTCCCTTCATTGTGGCTCCCTGTGGACAGGTGCCTTGCTTATCTTACTCAGTCAACAAACATTTACTTAACACATACTATGTTCTAAGAACAGGGGATATAGCAGTGAATAAAGGACCAGATGTCTGCCCTTGTGGAATTGACCTTCTGTTGAAGGTAGGGTGAGGCAATGAACAAAATAAATAAGAACGTTAGATAGTATACCGAGAGATGGTAAATGCTATGAGGTAAGGTAAAGTATACTAAAGGTGCAGGGGAGTTGGGGGTGGGGTCCGCCTCTATTTTAATTAGGGTGGTTAGGGGGCCTCACTGAGGAGGCAACATTGAGCAAAGGCTTGAAAAGATGAGAAAAGAGCAGTCCGTGCAGAGAGAAAAGCAAGTGCCAATGCTCTGAGGTGCGAACACATCTGCAGTTTTCTAGGAAAAGAAAGGCCACCGTGGAGAACACTGTGTGAGCAAGTGTAGGTAGGAAGCCACAAGAGAGAGTAAGAAGGTGGGGCATCACACCACACAAGTCCTGTTGATTATACAGAAATCTAAAAGACATGAAACAGATCTATAATCCATTTATTTTGCCAAATTATAATTTATTTTCCACTAGGGCCATTACAGAAGATAATACAGTTGTTCTATTTCAAATTTATTTACATAAAATAGTTAGACATGCATAAACGTTTAAGGCTGACCATGTCTCTTGTCTGAGGGATCCTCTTAGTTCTACAACACAGATAAATCTGTCCTTATGTTCAATATCACAACATACACCAATCAAAACATCCAAATTTAGATGTTTATTATATCTTCTATGTAAAGAAATAATGTACTATTTAAAGTCAAGTGTTTTAAATGCAAGTCAACCATTTTTTATACCACAGAAACATCCTGAAAACAAGTGTTAACTCTTTTTTATTCTTGCTAAGCACCTACCTAAGCACTGACCTGATTTGCATGCATTATTTTTAAGCCACACAATAATGAAAAGGTATCATTACCCCACTTTACAGACAGAGACACCAAATTTCAAAGAGGTTACACAGAAAGTATATCCTAATGCCAGAATCGGAACTCGAGTGTCCACTGGGTGCCTCACTCATATTAAAATTTTAGAGTTCTTCTTTACTTCTGCCTGGTTTTCACTGCTATCCAAAATTAGCTTTAATTTTTTCCAACCTCTCAGAGGGCTAATTATTGTTAAGAACAGTACTTACAACTACTAGAACACTTAACTCTCCAACTCTAATTCAGGATTAAGATCACTTAGTTATAAATTAAAATTTTAACTTACACGTAAGTTTAGTAAGGTCTGTCTTATGAAAACAAGGCTGGAAGAGGTGAGATAATGACTTATTCACTCATTTCCTCGTAAATGTTACCTTTTATTCCCAGTTAAAGTTTTAACTCCTGGCAGAGTAGCTCCAGCCTAGAAAAGAAAATACAGAAGTAGGCAAAAGGACTCCATTACTAGCTCTCGTACTCACTCTTTCTACCAACTAACTGAAACCTATCAACCAAACATAACGTGCACAATACTGCTCCAAGAGCTTAATGGAATGAAATAAAGATCTCTCTCACATTTCCTCTTATTACTTAAAACAAAAAAAGGTACTGAGCACATGGTACATACAGAATTTCTAGAAACAGAATGGATGTGATCCTGTATTAAATGAATTAAAAATCTTAAAGAAATTCATGAGAAACAAACACAAAACCAAATGTATATTGAGTTTTACGTAGTTGTATGAACAGACAGTTAGGATTCGGTGATTTTATTAAAGTTAGGGAATGAAATAAAACAGCTATGTAAAACTTTGCTTTACAGCTGACTTACAGGGCATGTTCAACTGAATTAATACCTCCACAGTAGCTGAAACCATTTTCTAAAACTCACCGCGACAAAATGAAACTGTCTTAATGAACTAATAAATACGCGCCACCTACAGGGCCGAAACGGCTTTCCGGGGGCTCTAACAGAACTTAATTCCCGGTGGGGTTCCTCAGAACACGCGTTGCTGGTCTCCGGGAAAAGGGAAGTTGCTCCTGAAGTGCGTTCCCCAGCCCTAGACGGACTGGCTGGCCCACAAGTTGGCCCCTGGAGCTTGCCTGTAAAGAAAAAGGAACGTCCTCACCCCAGTTGGCAGTCGGGCCGCGTACTGCCCCTCCGCGATCCAGCCGGGTCACAACGGCTCGCACCTCCACACAGGACGCCGGGCCGCCCCCTCCTTCGCTCGCGCAGCCACCGCCTTCGTCGTCGTCCAGTAGGAAGTGCGAGCATCCGGCGCTGCGGCGGTGCGCGTAGCCTCCTCCATGGGAGTACCGAGAGGAACCTGCCCGGGACTACCTCCCGCCCGCCGCTGCCGCCGTCGCCGCAGGGGCCTAAAACCGCCACCGAGAACCTGGGCACGTTTGAGTGACGCAAGCGATGGCGCGGCGCGCGCATGCTCAGTGCCCCGCGGCGGAAGGTCTGTCGCAGGCGCCCTCTCCGTGATTCCGGTGTCTTTACTAGGCCCTAGTCAGCGGGGAGAACCTTGGTGGATTAGTGGTTAAGAGTTCGACTGCTAACCAAATAGGTCGGCAGTTGGAATCCTCTTTAGACTGAGTCTGTGGGGTCAGTTCTACTCTGTCCTCTAGAGTCGTATAAGTCGGAATCCACTGGACCGCAACGGGTCAGTCAGCGGAGGAGTCCTGATGGCGCAGTTTTTTAAGCCTTTGGCTGCTAACTTAAAGGTCGGCAGTTCAAACTCACCAGCCGCTCTGTCGGAGAAAGTTGTGGCAATCTGCTTCGGTAGAGATTACAGCCTCGGAAGCCCTACGGGGCAGTTCTACTCTGTCCTATAATAGGGTCACTATGAGTGGTAGTCACGGCAACGGGTTTGGTTTTTTGGGTTAGCTGAGAGAGGAAGGCGGGGCGAAGGAAGAGGGTTGTAGACAGTGTTTCGCAAGGTGGCATTTGCCGACCATTTGATCAAAATCAAAATCCCGTGCGACGCTCATTTAAAATGAGAGATCCCGGGAATGGGCGGCGCGTGAACCTGCGTTTTAACCGGTGTCCCTTGACAGTCTTTTGGAAACTCTGGGAGGG